CACCGTCAAAAGCCGGAACTACAGGATTCTACCAAAAACACAGAGTAAAGGAGCAGCCACACCAATTTTTGGTTATTGGGACTGTCCCGTACCTCATCTACAAAGTACTACACAGGTTTTGACCCTGGCTCACTGTAGGCCCTGTGAAGTGGCTGAGCGAGCAGCCTTCAGGAATGGCAGCATCTGGTCGACATGCCTGCCGGCTTTGTTGCAGACTCTGTGTCTGGCATGGGTCCATTAGAGTGAGATCAAATTACCCTCTAGATGGTGAAGGGAAACACGTCAAAGGTAATATTCACAATCCCTCAACATGTTCTGTTTAGCCGTTTATTGGACATGCATAGAACCTGAACTTTGTATTGCCAGTTTCAGCTTGATGCTTTCTATGCTCAGGGTCCAGAGGTTCGCTCTAGGTCCGATAGGGTAGACACATTCCAAGACTGGCACTGCCAACTCCGGAATCATCCGGAGCAATTTTCCAACCAAGATGCCACCGACGTGAGGCAACATGATACCAGCCAGGATTGCAGCAACATCCAAGCACCCGATTCTTTTGGGGGAAAACAAAAACAAGAGGCAGAGCAAAATCTCCTCAGCCCTGGGTGGCCAACAGCGGCCACACTGTATAATGAAAGGTGCTTCCCCCACCAGTGGGGCATTCATTGACGCAAGTAGGGCGATTCCTCAAGTTAACATCAAGTCACAATTTGCAATAGTGCTCTAGAACGGACCTGTTTCCTCCATTTGCTGAAGTCCCTTGGAAAAAAGTTAGATATCTTCCAATGGTGATAGATTCCCTTTAGAACCAGCAAGGGAAAGTAAGAAATATTCTTCATTTAGCTTTGACAAGGATTGCCGTACAGAGGGTTGCGGGTTCCTCAAAACCGCCAACCCACCGCACAGAACAAACCAAAAACCGCCCAGCACACCCATGTGCGAGTGTCTCGAAATTAGGCCCCCCCCCACCTTCCAACCGGCTTTAACCTAATTCAAGAGGGAATTTACCCCCAAGACACCAGCCAAAAACTATTCTGGCTTCCCAACACTAAAATCGATTTCAATTTGGAGCCCCTGGTACTAAAACCAACCGTTTGGCTTCTCAAAGGGCTTCCCCAGAAAACCAGAGGTTGCTTCCCCGCTCTGTTTGACCATCATTATATATCATTATTGTCCAGAACCAGGCATTTCCCCACTGGGTCTTTGGAGGGGTCCTTTAAAGAAGCATCCCTGGAAAGAACGGGAAGTTACTGACAGATTAAAAAAAAAACTGGATACATACCCTTCATGTAGCGGTTGTATATATAGTGGTTTTATACTCCTCTGGCATAGTGGTTTGTGGTCGTCGTTCTTAGAATCGCCCTACAGGAAGCTCCCCTCAACAAGACCGCCACTTCCTTTCGGCCCCTCCTCCACCTTCACTCGGAGTCCAGGAGCAGCAGCGCGCAAGTCCCGTAGGAAGCTTAGCTCGGCCTCGAGCACATGGGGTGTCAAGGCAGGGGGCCCTTCTTTCCAGAAGCCTCTAAGCGGGTGGTGCGGAGATGCACCCCAAGCCGTGTTACCTTGGGTCTAACACAGCCCCGACCCGGTGATGGACCCCTCTTCAGGTCGAATCTGAGTTTTGGGACCCTCTGGAGGTCAAAAACGGGGAACATGATTCTGACCCGCCAGAAGGTCCATCGGTAACGCATTGCAGTAAGACTCATTTGGACAAACGCCTTGGAGGAATTCAGATCCACTCAAGCGCCTCGCACTTCATGGCCATTCAAATTTGGATCAAGATGGGCTTGTCCTAAAGCAACACAAAAAGCGTGAAACGTGCTCAGAGACAGGAGAAACGGCCGGTGGAGCGAAAAAGCAGTTGTTTGTTGAAAAAGGCCGAATGCAAATGCAGATCTTGAAAGTCCAGGTACCGGACATACTTGCTTCCACTCACGTCGAGCATGTTATTTGACTACAGCAATGAATGTAGGTCTCATCAAGCAATCCGTCGCGCGATGTCTGAATCACAGAAAACATTGCCTTGGACCTCTTTCCGAAATCCACTGCTCCACTGGAAAGGCCTGCTTGAAACGATCCAACGCTTGAGCAGTCCAACCCCAAACCCCCCAGTGGCCGCACAAAAAGACACTTATTTTGGTCGGTTGACAGCAAACCCAACGAGGAAACCAACAATCCAACAGCTGTCCAATGGCCCATGTGAAACTTCCTGATCTCTTGGGGCGCTTGTCAGTACTAAAAGCAATACTAAAGCAATTCTAAACCAGTACTAAGCAGTACTTACTGAGAGACTACTTGAGTAGGCCAACTCTGACCCCCAAAATTGATTTTAGGCTTTTCCCTATTGACCCCCGATTTGTTTTGGGGCGGAGGGAGCCGACAATAGAAGGAGTGGGACGCAAGGGACACTCCTGGCCACGCCACTCAACCATAGCTTTCCTGAATCGCCCTACGAGCCGGATGTAGGGGATACGAACTCGCCATACGAGCAAACTTGCAATCGTTCCAGTTGCTTGAGGTGCTGCTGATAAAGTCATAAACGTTTCTCTGTGAAACCAAATGGAGTTTCAGTATCTTGATGGCGGAGTACCCCCCTCGAGCATATTTGATACTCGATGCCAAGTCTGGACACTTTGGGCCATCAAGCGTGTTCAGTTGAGGCGTCGCGATCCAGACCCCAGATCACCACACCCGGGAGGTGGGCAGGGGCCGCCCGAAACGGAGACGCTGATCAATCAAGCTCCAAAACGTTGCCTGCCACACCAGAGTGGGGTTCAAAAGCCACATCATGGATCTCCACAGCCAAGAGCACAGTGGATTGTGGCCCCCTGCACTTTATGGTCGAGCTACATAGACAAATGCTCCCCATTTCAAATTAAACGGCCTAAGCTTGAGACCCTGGAAGCCCGTCCATGCTCCCCTCTCCAGGAATTCCATGCGTTGGTCTGTGCAATGGTCAAACATGTCACCCTGAATAGACATCCTAATATCCCCCTATCATGGTTGTCTGAAACCCATCCCTGCCAGCCCAAGCTAAAGGGTGCTATGGAACATTTCCCAGCTCAACTTAAGACTACCATTTCACACAATGAGTGGGATGTGAATACAGTACTTTCCCAGTGGGATGTGAACCATTTCTGTCGCAGGTTTACCATTTCCCACAATGATTTCACTTCAACATGCTGCCAGACCCGAAAATCCCAAATTTTCGCGGATGCCAAGGGCCGCGCGGCGTCTGCCATGAGCCAAATGCGCCAAATGCGCGCTTGTCTACTGTATTTGTCCGCGCGCCGCACTCATAGCGAGTTCGTTGGGTACCAAACAGGAGCTATGCAAAAAGCGGAGGAAAAAAAGGAAAAACAACATGTCCCCCTTGAGTCTCTTTCAAAAAAACAACAAATATGGGCTGTTTAGTACCACCGCTGGCCGGCAACGATTTGCTTATTTCTGTGTTGTGCCTGCGCATGTGAATGTACCCAACTATTTAGAAGCACAAAAATAACAGTCTCCAGCCCTCCGAAAGGAATATGTCATTGGGCAGCGACTGACAGCTGCTCTTTAGCGATGGCCCACAGCCGGACAAGTCCAGGCATTCTGCCAGCCAGTGGTAACACTACGTGCTTCTTTGTTTGGTCGCCATTCATGCTCTTCCCAACCTTACGAACCCAACCAGTAAGATTGTCAGTTGCTGGTTCAGTGCTGTTGCAGGAAGACGCACAAATTCAAGCCGCTGTGATACTGTTGTGCTCTGTCACTAGTCGCTGCTGTCAGGCTTACAAGTGACAAGCCGAGGGCGAAAAGGAGCGGCCGGGCGCGGTTCTTCGATATCGCAGTGGCCCCCAATGCAACGGCTCACTTGTGCCAAGAGAGGAGCGGGAACTGTCTGAACCCCCGCCCCTTCCCCATCCTTCCCCTCCTCGCCTAGATTTCATTGGCCTTATTAGATCCTTGTTTTGAGCAAACAGGGGAGGGTGGTGGTTGGAGAGATGCGAATGTGGGCAGATTTCTGTTCTGACTGGGGAGCTACCGCCAAAAGTTGCCGGCGGAACCCAAAGTAATTCTGCTCCTCCTCCCTGCTCTTTCAGGCTGCTCCACGTAAAGGAAACCGGGTGTCACTTCCTGAAGTAGGAGGAACTCTGCAAAGAGAATTCCAACTTTCCTCCCGTGCAAGGTCCTAGAATTCACGCTTTGACTGACATCCCCCTCCTCAACTGCGAAAACCGTACCCCCCTGCCTACATCTTCAAATTCTAGCATGCGAATTAGGGGGATCCTCAAGTGCGGGAACCCCACAATGGTGAGCTCGTTTTTCCCCCAATTGAGCCAACCATAAAAAAGGCAGATACATATATAAAGAGTGGGGATCTGCTGGCCACATTGACATGAGCAAAGATCCTGGCATTGAGCCGCCCAGTCGTATGGGCCTCAAATCGTGAGCTTAATATGGGATTGCCGCCGTATGGATTGCAAACGCTGGGATACCAGCATTTCACGAGAAAACTGTCCAGTCACAACGCAAATCCAGAAGATACTTGGACCAGTGGATTCGATGGTCTTGTGGCTCTCTGAGGCGGATCGGCATTGCAACATAACCCCCGAGACTTACGTAGCCCGGTGGTTGGCCAAGAGGTTGCCGACGCGCCCCTGCGACCCGGGAATGTGTTGTTCTAATTGCCACACCAAGTCCATGTCCAAACGCAGACCGTAAGGACATCTGAACTGGCCCAAACAGGAAAAATAATCAACATTGGAAATACTGCAGGAGAGCCCCTAGTGAAGGGCCTTTGTCATGGATGAGCTCGTTTTCCCCTACACAAACTCACTATAAGTTGCACAAATCCAATGACGTCAAGCGAAAGCTGGGCTGAGATCATGGCATTGGCAACGGCCAAGCATCTCACATGGGAAGGAACTGCCTTTATGGAAATAACATGTTACCCGCTCGGATCTTGACCAAGGTGCCCAAAAAAAGGAGCAGCGAAAGGTTTGGCCCGGGCCCCCGGC